CGCTCTGTAGAACAAAAGCGTGACGTGTGCCCCCATTCGCCGCAATTATAGCAGAAAATTTTACTTAAATCGCGGGATGAATTTGTTTGTGTCTTTTTAACACTATCTTGTTGCTCTAGTGGGGAATCTTCGGTCTTATTGGCTTTCCCATATCGTGCTAGATTTTGTTGCAACCTCTGCTGTACTAGTGGTTTTGAATTGACTCTCGTTTGTTGTTTATTCCCTCCGGTTCGATAAATCTTCTGTTGAAAAGTGTTTAAATCAGTTGCCCGTTCCTCTTCATCATCTTCGTATGTTGATTCCTCTTCATCTTCTGAAACTCGTCTTGTATGTAATTCAATCCAACATTATTTTTCTTATGACGTGGTCCTCTTTGACTCTCTACTGAACGACGATACAGGTAACTTCTTTCGTTAACGTAATGTAAGAATTCGTCATAATCATGCAATGGTAAATTGAGGATTTCAAAAGTTATTCGCGGGTTAAATTTAATAAGAATTTGTTTTAGTTGTTCTTTAAAAGATGGGGGGTACATCATTTGTTCGAAGATGAAACAAGCCCGACAAGTGAATTCGGCCAGACTTTCCCCCTTTTCGACTTTCAGGTCCCTGATTTCAACAAAAAGATAGCCGTCTGCCTTTTTTACACCCCACTGATAGCAAAAAGCTTTAGAAAAATCCCTCCATGATCGCCAACTTCGTTTATTAATTAAATACCATTGTCGATAAGCTCCTTCGAAGATGTTCGACAGGCACGAAATGAAAAGGTCTTTACTTATTCCGCTTGTACTTAATAAATCTTTTAAAATGAGCAAAAATTGATCTGGATCCTTTTCCGTTTTGGGAAAGTTAATTTTCCAACTACTGACGATCTGACCTATCTTCATAGCAGAATTCGTATTCCAGGGAATCGTAGGTGAAATACTATTTGCCCTATCGCGTGTATTTGAAAAACCAGTTTGTCGTATTCGATAATTCTCAAGGTCACGTCTAGATCTACAACCGTTATCACTTTCGCTAGATTCGCTAGTTTGCCAGGATAGAGTACCGCGTCTTAATGTTCCCGATTGTTCGCTTACAATTCGTGGAAAAGATTCTGCGTGACGTGAGTTTCCTGAATATGAAAGGTTTTGGTCACGTGGCGTTTCGCTCGCAATCCGAGAGTGTCTATTCTTAATCGGTATTTGAATGTGATCGTCGACTACACCGCGATTTGGCCGTGTTCTTAATTACAAAATCCGGTCATACTCGTCCCTTGTTACAAATTTTTCCTCTGCAAGGGTTTCGCCATTTCTTAATTGATAAGTTATTACTACTTTTTCCGGATATAATAGTAAATCGTATTATTGGTTTCGATAATCTTGTCCGGAATAGATCACGGTATTATACTGTTGCGGTTGAGTAATTGGCGCTAATTCGTCTAAAGTATTCGTTTGAGTACATCTGGTTCTTGAATTTATCTTATTTACCGCCCGAGTTTCCTGGAACCGGACTCTACGGAGTTCTCTTTCGATAGATCCTTCATCCTCTATTGGGACATTCGGATCCGTGTTGCTGTTGTTATTACATATCAAACTATCTGGTCTAGATTCGCCAATTGGTGACTTGCCCTGGCTTCTTCCTACCACATTAATTTTATCGGACTTGAGAGTAAGGGCTCTCGTTTGATTATTCATCCCTTTATTTGCATTACTGTTTTCTATGTCGTTATCGGAGGAACAAACAGACGACCCCCCCGATAACGTATTACCGGCCGCGTCTTCCCCCTCAGACCGTAGGTTAGACCGCGACGAAATTGTAACATTATTATTATTTTGTTCGATAAATTTATTAATTAAACTCATCATATGAGTATTACCCCTCATAATATTATCCATTCGCTCCCCGAGAGCTTCTACCGTCGCTAGTCTCATATTAACGTGTTCCATTTGATTTCGTAACGTAATTACCGCTTCTCTTTCTATAGGTGTAAATTCTCTTACTTTATTTATAGTCGGAGTATTTGTTTTCCCTCGACCTCTTCCTATAGATAGCGGTGTTCCCCCCCCCTTATTGACGTGAGGGGTAGAACCGCATCCCGTATTGTGGTACCCGCGCCAGGGTTTGAAACAATTGACGAATCTATTGTCGCTTTATTGTTCCCTGAATTATTATCAGTTTGCACCTGACTAGGGCCATATGCCGACGCATTACTTGACAAGGCTTCATTTTCTTGGGGCAAAGAGACTGTTTCGTTAAGACGGACAGACGAATCGTGAATATCTAATTTCTTACTTCTAGTATTTCTCGACATAGTTTCCTTAGATTTTTTTGGTGGAGAAATAAATAACGAAGTCATATCATAGTATGAACTTATACGAATTGCTAAGCTTCCCTCCAATAAACTTGTAGACGCCAGTAACTTTGTAATATATATATTATATATATGTAGTATAATAATATAAGGTATAGGGTATATGACAGCCTTATTCAATTGATAATTCAATAAATAAATATCGATAGTTATCACATACAATAAATACACATAATAATTTACATAATGAACCATAAATAGATAAGTAATTAAATAGACCAAATAATAAAAACAATTGAGAGTAATAATAAATACTTAAACAAAATAGACACGCTATGAGGCACAGACGGACGATTACGTACACAATTATTCAATGCAAAGAAATTAAAGATTTATTATTTCTTATTATTTTATACTATGTCGGAGATAATTTATAGGAAAGAATTCTTGAATTAATTTCATTTCAAAAATAAATGAGTATTTTTATCTGAATTAAATTTACTTCAATATAACCACGCGGGTATACCAGCACATTATTTGAATAATTGTATTTACACTGGTTCAACGGACAATAATAAGGAGAAAGATTCCGTCAATACAAAGGGCGTTTGGTGTATCATAATATACTGAGTGACTCTTGTACGGACGAATGCTCGACATAAACATCGTCATAAATACCGTTTATATCTAGTATTTGATTTTGTTAATATTAAATACTATCTTTTATTTTTTAATCCGGATAATTTTATAGAATAAAATTTTCTTTATATTTTTCAATTCGTACTCAGAAAATCTTTAATAAAAAAAATTATTTTCCCAAGGGCCTTACGTTGGGCGCCAAATGAGACGGGCTTTTTGACTTAATAAATAATAATAACTTGGTATATAATAAATTTAAGCAATAGCCCTCACCTGACGCGACCGGGTCCGTGGCCGTCAGGGCTCTTTATTAATATTTAAATATATCACAATGGGCGCCAACTAATCTTTATAAAATTAGTAAATTTCTTTTATATTTAAATTAATAGAACAAAAGAATTTCCGCAGAAAACTTAGTAGGTTCTCAGGGATGGGACTTGGGAGGACCCAAAATTGTAAATTAAGAAAATTAAGGTCGGAAATTACATGGGAATGGAAACTTGCTCCGGGCAGAGCCGTATAAATAATTGCTACTCACACGCATAGCCGTAAGCCAGATTTATAGAATAGACTCTCTCTTCGTGTATACATTTGTCTTCTACAATTCAAGACAACAATCCTTTAACGTTTAATAACCAACGGCGGTCCGACTTCTCGGGGGAACGACTCATGCAGCCTTTTACAATGTGTATTCCGACGGAAGGCCTATCGCAGAGTGCCCGCTCCAAACTTGGCAGTAGATTGTCCCACCTGGCCTGGCTGTTGTCGGTTTGAATCGGTTCGGGAAGTGGGGCCTTCGTTCCTTTTCGTCAAGTATTCTCGAGTAATATGATGGATAGTTCAAACGTAACGTGGATGTGACCAAATTAATAAAAATAAGATTTTTACAATAATATGTAAGTGTGAGAACTCCCGACGAGTCGGATCGTATTGACGTTGAGAGAGATTTTACTGTTACAACATATATGGTATTCTTGTAGGTTATCTCAACAGTTTTCTATAATAAAATATTTGTTCATGGAGTACTCTTTGAGTTATAAAGGTTCGAAGTTAACAATTTTTTGACATAAAATGTAAAATATTTAATAATCGAAAAATTTTTGATAATCATGCCTTAATACTTTTCCGCACAGTATAATAAGATCAATCAATTGGTATAATACAAACACATAATTGTTGTCAAAAGAATATGTAATATTCAACATGCAGCTGCATTCTTTTTTATAAGCAAATATCAATTGGTGTTTTTTTACACCAATTGATTGATTTTATTATTCCGTGCAAAAAAGTATTAAGGTATAATTACCGAAAACTAAATATTTTAGAAGATATTTTACATTTTGTCAAAAAATTGTTAGTTTCAAACTTTTATAATTCAAAGAGTACTACATAAAAAAATATTTTATTATAAAGTTTTGGAAAGCTGCTGAGATAACTTACAAGAATACGTAATGAAAAATAGGTAGTACCATTTAAGAAATTGAAGTTGACCTTTACATGACCTTCAAATAACTTTTCAAGGTCAAATCAATGGCACCATCTTATGTTCCGCTCAAAACCATATAATTTTTGTCTAAAACGTTTTTCTCTAAAATGCTAGTTTTTGAAAAAAAAAGGGATGTACAGGTTGTCTGGGACACCATGTATAATCATCTCTCTAATATCTCTTTTATTTTATCACTATTAAGAATATATATATATATTCTTTTATTTATAATAAAAGAATATATTAATAAAAATTTTATTGATAATAAAAGAATAAAATAAACGCTGTACAATAAACACATTTTTAAGATTATAATAAAAAAAATTAATGTTATAGCGCAATTTATATATATATTAAAAATGTGTTTATTGTACAGCGTTTATTTTATTCTTTTATTATCAATAAAATAAAATTTTATTAACATTGATACAAACATAAAAAAAGATTATTTTTTCGTGCATTATTTTGTAGCTTCTTGTGTACAGCAATACAATAGTGACGTGCGCGTCCACACGCTGAATCTTGAAAGTACACATAATACACATACATGCATACGATTTACAACGAGATACGTTCTCACTGGTTCGGCGATCAGAAGTGAAGGCGCAACCGAAGCAACACGTTCCATTTAGTATACCAACGACCGTAGTGCCGGAAGGACTCGCTACCTTTACGTCTGATATCGTGTAAATACAGATGTACGGTCGCGCGTGAATTAATAAAAATTTTGCAGCTTTTACGCTTCTATTTATGTAAACGTGGTCTTGCATACGTCAACAGGTAAGAATATGTGCCATTAGAATTATATTTTGACTTTAAATCGATAATTTTGGATTTAATCTACATTTTTTTACATAATTTTATATTTTTATGTTAAATTATTGTAATTTTTTATTATTATTATTGTAATTTTTATTTTCAATAAGGAAAAGATAATAAGTATTGTTTTATCCAGATGAAGTTAGTTTTATAATTAAAAATTAAATACAACTTTAAATATTTTGATTATTTAATAATATGTTAAAAGTTTTAATTTATTTTTGCATTTTGCAAAATATTTTAAAAATATAATATATTCCTTTTAGATAATTTGATATAATGCTCTATTAGTGAAATATATATTTAATGATTAATGATATATATTTAATTAAACTTTAAAGTTGAAATTCTCTATGAAACTATTAAAAAAATTAATTTTAAGTAAAAGGTAAAAATTTTGTAAAAAAGATATTATTCTAAACGCTATATGTATAATAAATAATGAACAATAAAATAGTATTGAAAAAGTAGTGCAAAGTTGAGCAAAAAACAAATAAAAAATTATTATATTATACATTATATCATCATTATTATAAATATTTTTGTATTGTATAATATAATATCAAATTCAATTTCTGAACACAATCTGAACGACAATTTGTATAAAAATATTTACATTTTTTGTGTATATGTTTTTTTTATAATCTGAAGTTTCTTGATAATTACCTATATAATATATATCTATATCTTGACATCGTTTATTTTAATAACAGTTTGCACAGAATATAATTTGAAACTTTTATAATTGCAAATATTTTATATTTGCAAATTAAAATTAAAAAATTCAATTGTATATCTTTAAAAAATATGATGTAGGATTATATGTAGGATTATAAAATATGATATAATAGATTATAATTTCACAAACAAAAATTATCTTTATCAATGTAGAAATGATCTTATTTTTGTCATGTGATCCATTATTTCGCATAGATTTTTATTTGTTGAATATGAATTTGGTGTCTTTTGCGTATTGCATTACATTTTTGAAACAAATTAAGATTATAAATATAGATAAAATAACTATTGTGTCAATTTTTATTTCAATTTAGAATAAAAAAATATAAAATCTATAGCACATGCGCGCGCGCGCGCGCGCACACGCACACACACGCAACACACACGCGCGCACGCACGCACGCACATAAAAAATGTCCCATTTTAAAAGATCCATACAAATATCTCAGAAACTTTGCGTGATATTAAAAAATGTTTCAAGTAAAAGTTATTTGATGTTGAGAAGTTCGTTTAATGATGATCTTTATTTAAATAATTTCAATGTTAACTTAATTTTTTAAATAAAATATATCGATTTCTTGCAATATTTGACATAAATGTTATCACAACAAAATCTTTACAGAAGAAAAAAACACGTTAAGTATACATATAAAAAAATTCGACATTATATGCAAATATACTTTTGTAAAAATTGTTCTGAATTTGAAAACAAGATGTAAAATATACAGAACTTTAACTTAAACACTTAAATATTTCGAAAAATATGAAATATACGGAAAAATGTTTTAAACAAAAGTTAATTAGTTTGAAGGGGGACATAAGATGACGCCATTGATTTGACCTTGAATAATCATTTAAAGGTCACGTAAAATTCACTTTCAATTTCTTTATCATAAACCCCTATTTTTATTACATATTTTGTACCTTATCTCAAAAACTTTTTAAAACACTTTAAAACAAATATAATAAACGAGGATGGAGAATCTATTGCTACAAGAGCCAATACAGCAAATTTGCCAAGATGAGGAACTATCTCAAATCGAGATTTTCTAAGCTCCTTTTTCCTCCTAACAAACTTCCTAAATTTCCTAAAATTAATGTAGACGAGAAAAATATATCGGTCCGAAAAAGTCGGCTGAATCGGAAATCGAACCCGAGACCTTCCGCTTGCCGGGCGACTGCTCTTCCAGCTGAGCTATTCAGACACCTTAACAAATATAATAAAGTATATTTTTTTAAAGTATTTTTCAAGTTATAAAGTTTAAAAATAATAATTTTTTTACAAAATGTAAGATATCTTGTAAAATAATCAGTTTTTGGTAATCTTACCTTAATACTTTTATGCGCAGTATAATAAAATCAATCAATTGGTATAAAAACAAAAAAGTCTAAAAGAAATTAATTTTCAACATGCAGTTGCATACTTTTTTTTAAAAGAAACTGTGTTTTCTTTACATCAATTTATTGGTCTCACTATTCCGTGTATAAAAATATTAAAAAATGATTACCGAAAACTGAATATATTATAAGATATTTTACATTCTATGTCAAAAAATTGTTAACTTCAAACTTTATAACTCGAAAAATACATAAAGGAAATGTACTTTATTTAGTGTTTTGGAAAGCTCTTGAAATAAGCTACAAGAATATGCGATAAAAAATGGAGGTTCATAAAAATAAATTAAAAGTGACCTTTACGTGATCTTCAAATGACTATTCAAGGTCAAATTAATGGTACTACCTTATGTTCCCCTTTAAACCAAACAACTTTTGTTGCAAACATTTTTCCGTATCCTTCATATTTTTTAAAATATTTGAGTGTCTAATAATAAGCTAGATTGGGACAACCTGTATTTATAGCAATATGAAATTCAAAAATAAATATAAAATCAATACTCGGCTAAGTATAAATAGTTTATTAATTTTGTAGATTATTATCTGATCTAATATAAAATATATCAAAGAATTAACTTTGTATTTTTAAGAATGATCATGTGCATAGTCAAAACGATTTAGAATGCATTGAAATAATTAAAATGACAAATAAAAACTTTGCGTGTCCAGGTCGAGGCATTAAAATAACATAAATTTTCCAATAAGATTGCTTGCAAATTAATCTATAAAATTGATTTGTAGAGTAAGATTTCTGTTTTTGTTTAAAAATATTCCACATTAAACGAATATAGTTATGCTATTCTTCTTTAATATTTGAATATTTCAAACTTTATTGTCTATTAATTGATAGGTAATATATTCTTGTAATATATTCTTAAAATAAATTAAAAATTTTAATTAATTAGTTCATATTATTTTTTACGTTTTTTGCTATATTATGTTATATTAAGACAATGTACTTTTAATTAATTTTGTTCATATTTATTTTATTTATACAAATATTTATTACATAAAGAATAATGCTGAAAAAGGACCATTTGCCTGTAAGGGAAATGTATCAAATTGGTATATTTTTGTTTTTGGACCTACTCGAAAATAAAGCTTAAGGGGATGCTGGAGTGACTTGAGAAGTCAGTTGTTTTTTTTTCTTTCTTATCGACAAAATATGAGGTTAAATAAACTATAAATCTATTTATTGGCTATACGGATTTTTTTTTACCTAAAATTAGAACGCTTCGCCATTTGTTAATATTAATACTTTAATTTGTACAGAAGAAAGATTTATCAATCTGTATAGTCTCATATTTCTTGATTACAGAATTATGAATTCTTATTCTGTCACACACACACACACACACACACACACACACACACACACACGCACGCACGCACGCACGCATATATATATATATATATATAATGTCTTGTTTTTAAATGAATTAAATATATATATATATATATATATATATATATTAGAATTATTTAAATAAAAATAAGCTAAAGGACATAGCAAAATACTGAATAGGTGCGGAATCTTTTCGAAACAGACCTGACATCACTGTAGTATCATGTCACACTATTCAGTAGAATTGCAATCACATGACGAAAGTAGCAATATGTCTATATTCAAGACATCGTATTAGTATACCGTTTAAACAAATAAAATAAAATTAACAAATACTGAACAGCAAACAGTAAATCGTTTTTTAACGCGGAAGAAATATACAAATCCATCGTCTCATAAGTAAGATGAATGAAAAGTGCATATTTTTGTCGCGCATCAACGTTAACTACTTCTCTAGAAACTATTTACTCCAGTCTTTGACGAAACATTTGTATTTCTCACATCTTCCGCAATTAAAAGACAAATTACCATTTGCTGTTCAACGTTTGTTATAATTTCATTTTGACTGTTTGGACGATATACTAGCACGATAGATATAAAGAAAAGGCATAGTTGTAAAGAAAAAGTATGCAATTTGTAATTAATAGTTACACATATTCAATCTAAATTTTTCAAAATTTTAATATGACGCTTTTAATATACGCTTTTTTAGTAAACAAAAATGATGTACAAAATAAGATATATGTACATATACAATACTCTCCACAAGTTTGAAAACACCTACATTTTACAGTTAAACAATTGCATGCAGCGATCTGTCATAAATAAAAATGTTATTTAAATATTTAAGATTTCTTCATATAAAAATCTGCTTATATTGCTTATACAATTATTTAACTGTAACTAGCCAAAATGTTTATCAAAATTTCACTATTTCATCTTTTTAAATTGCATAATATACTGAACTTTTATATACGTAACAGATAAAAAATAAAATGTTTATTGATTCAATCGAAGAAGTTATATAAGGCGTTTAAATCATATTACTATTAATAATATAGATCATGTTAATATTTAAATATAATTATATAAAAAAATAAAAACGTAGATATTATAATGATTGCAACGTGTCATACTTCGGACAAACAAAGAGACATCTATATACACGTGTAAAAAAACATTTCAGCAACATCAAAATGCATTCGAGTAATTTATCAGTTATCAGCAAACATAAAATTGAATTCGATTACGATTTTGACTGGACTTCGCCTGTTATTTTGCACAGTGAAAAACACGTAAAAAAAAGAGAAATCGCTGAAATGTTTTTTATTAAGAAAAATAATAACGCTATTAATTTACAAAAGGATACCGACAATCTAAGTAATATCTACGACAAAATAATAAAGGTCATTTAGTCTCTCATAACTCGTCTAAGAGTCTTGACGTGTTGTCAAACCGACACTATGTTCGTTCTTGATATCTTAAAATTATAATTTTATTTTTATTTTCACAAGTATGTTTTGCTTCTTTTTATTATTTTGTAATATTGTTAAGTGAAATGATTTTTTTTATTGTATTAATCTCTGTACTGTATTTTTTCTTTATGTATATCTAGATTACTTGATAAGGACTCAAAGAAGAGTCGAAACGTTGTGATTTAATAAATAATATTTGCCAGTACGGTCGAGAGAAGAGTCTTACCTTTTTTATAATTATATAATTTAAATATAAATGTTACATACATTAATCTTTCTTTAATAATATATTAAAAATACTTTTACACTATATAAAATATAATTATAAAATATAAAAAATATCAAACAATAAATTTTTACTATAAACTATATGTATAAGAAGATAAAGATAATAATCAATAATTGAGTCAGATATCGCTTGTTTTTTGTTTATTTTAGAAAAACATTATGTATTATACGGATATAAATGACAGAATAATTTAACTATTTTTGTAAGTTGAGAAACAAAAATATTATTATAAAGATATATATTATGTTTTTATGTTTCAGAGTTGTGCTTCAGATGGTGCTATTTAGAGAATCGGCATGGTTGTTAACCTTCACTTCGTGAACTTTTAGTTGATTTATATTAACGTTAAACCGTCATAGTTCAAGAAATGACAGGCTGAGTGATCAATCTTTTACAGAAAAACCGTGTACAAAGTTCAATAAGCAAAAGCTATCAAGTCAGATTTATACAACACACGCGCATAAAATACAATATCACTATGACGTATTTACATTCAATCGGGGAAGTAATTGGCTTCATAGTATTATCTATTATTGCAATAATAGAGGGTATTATTAGATCATTTATTCCCAAAAAGTACAAAATGAAAAACATAGATGGCGAAATTGCTCTCGTGACAGGAGGTGGTGGTGGATTAGGGAGGCTTCTCTCCCTCAGGCTGGCCAATTTGGGTGCCATTGTCATCGTTTGGGATATAAATAAAAGTGGTGAGATTAAAAATTAAATTAGTAAATCAAAAAAATTAAGAAATTTTTAATATCTAGTTAATATTATGCAAAATCAAATTTTTTATGCATTTGATATGTCGTGTACAATGAAAAAATTACATAAAATCAAAAGTATTTATAACACTAGTAGTAAAACAAAAAACTATAGCATAATCCGATCTTATATCCCATTCAATCAATGAAACGGCCGCGTAACATCTCAAGATCGTGCTTGATGATTTTAAATATAACATAAGACTATGTATACCGGTCTGTATACATATATTTATATAAAATTATATATTTTTTACTTGGTTCTTAATTTCAAAAAGAAATATACCTGTTAAATGTAAGAATTAAATAATTTTTTACAAATAATGTAGTTTTGTTTAACCACAGTTTACAAATTTATGTAATTTAATAGTTATAAGCTAGATTAGAAATATTTAAAAACAGTTCAATGAAAAACATTTAATTATGCAAACGTCATGATGTAAATATTATTATTTAATTCGAGAAGATTTGGTTCTAAATTATATAAAATTAAAATGTTTTTACTTATAATAATAATTATTATAAGTAAAACATATATATATATATATATATATATATCTATATATATATATATATATATATATATATATATATTTATATATATTTATAGGTAATGTACATACATCTGCATGTGTGTGTTTGTGTTGTGAGTTAGTTAATCTTAGAATTTTTTATGCTTAAATTTTTAACAAAAAAGTTAATGTTATTTATTATTACATGTTTACATAGATTTATTGTTTAATAGCTTTTAATAACCTCTTGCAAAAAATCTAATGACGTCAAATCGAAAGAACATGCAAGTTACAGAGATTTCACGATTAATGTTTTGATCGAAATAATGAATATTCAAATATTGAAAAAGCACTCTATTAATTTATAATAATTTTATTGAATTTGAAAAAAGATATCCGATAGCGAGACGCAACCGCGTTTGCTGATAATATCCTACATTTAAATTATTTTGATATCTTTATTCATTGAACAAATCGTTCGCGGGTATATCTTTATTGGAATCTTTTATTTTGTAAATTGCAATAAGCAGCTATATTGTATACAGGGTGCCTCATTTTAAATTAAACTTTCAAATATCTTGAAAAATATGAAGAATACGCAAAAACCTTTCGAATAAAAGTTGTTTAATTCGAAGATATAAGATGGTGCCATTGATTTGACCTTAAAAAGTCACTTAAAGGTCACGTAAAGGTCAACTTTAATTTCTTTAATGGAACCACCTATTTTCATTGCATATTCTTGTAACTTATTTCAAGAGCTTTCCAAAACCCTATAATAAAGTGTTTTTTCATGAAGTACTTTTCAAGTTATAAAGGTATGAAATTTACAATTTTTTGGCATAAAATGTAAAATATCTTGTAACATATTCAGTTTTTGGTAATCATACCTTAATAGTTTATGCACCGAATAATGAGATCGTAGTTACCTTAGAAAGAAAACACATAGTTACCATAAAAAATATGTTGCAAATTACATACATCTTTTTCAAGGCAATTAAATATCTATATGTTTTCTCTACACTAATTGATTCCTCTCATATATATATATATATATATATATATATATATATATATATTAAATACCTATGTTTTCTTTATACTAATTATAATATATATATATATATATATATATATATATATGAGAGGAATCAGTTAGTGTAAAGAAAACATATAGGTATTTAATTGCTTTGAAAAAGATGTATATACCATATATATATATACATAGACACAGGGTGTCCCATTTTAACTTAGACACTCAAATATCTCGAAAAATATAAAGAATATGAAATATAAGATATATATATATATATATATATGTGTGTGTGTGTGTGTGTGTGTATGTGTTTTTACACTAATTGATTCTTCTCATTATTTGATTTTCATTACATAAAAGTATTGAGGGAAAATTGTCGAAAAATATTTTAATATTTTATGAGATATTTATTCGTAGTTTATGTAAAATTTATGTCACATTAAAGTCACAAAATATTTGGTTTATTCACATTTTGCAAAAGAAATTCATTTATATAAAAAATTATAGTGATTATAAAATTCTCTTTAAAAAATTAAGCATTAACTAAAACATTTTTCTCTTAAAAGCTCTGAAATATTCCAATCCCAGTCAGAAATGTATAGTTGTTGTGATCGAATTAACGTCGAAAACCAATGTTGAAATAAAGTTGAAATTTTGATCGAATTGAAATGGTAAAAAATTTTGACGAATTTTCGACTATCATTTCGACATAATTTCAACGTTGAATTAACCAATTTTTTCATATATAATTAGACAAAATTGGTTATATTTAATTATACAAAATTATATGTATCAAATTTGTTTATATATAAATATATATGATTACATATTATTATACAAAATAAAATAATGCTTCCAAGCAATTACCCATTTAAATATTGATCATGATCAAGCATTGCTTAACTTCAATGATCGTACAAGAACTTTACTTCTTAATCAAACTTTATTTAATTATTAGTTTTTAATAATTTTCTATCGTTTTTCTCGTCAATAGTTAAATAGATGAAACATTTTTTTTCAATACTGTATCTCACAATCAATTTTTAAAACATTGGAAAGAGAAAAAAGTAATATTTAGTGCAACTAATTCAACTATAAAAAACAGACCATGCAATTATATTATTAATATATGTATAATAACCACTTGGCTAACTTTATATAATTATAATTAATTTAGATAATCTCACACTATATAAAATATTCAAAAATCATAAGTCGATATTGCACAAAAATCAAAAATCTTATTCAATTATTGGACTCAAACGGGCGCTCATTGCATCAACCGCTGAAAGGTGTCGAATCAACATTGAATTGACGTTAAACTTCTGACTAAATATCGACTCAACCAGTTGTCAACCATATCGACGTTGAATCAATTTTGAATCAAGGTTACATTTCTGATTGGGATGGATTGATTAAAATGATCCTGTATCTATGTATAGATCTGTTTGTGCTGACTGCACTCTTGCACTAGTTCAGAGATTGTTTTTTTCCTTCCAATGTCGAGCAAAAAAGACAACCTCTGAACTAGTGCAAGAGTGCAGTCAGCACAAACAGACCTAAATATAATATATATTAGACATATGAAGATCTATAATATATATTACACGCACGCACGTACGCGACACGCACACACAAGTGAGATTTATTTACTTCTTGGTTTCAAATGAAAGAAACGTGTGCCCTATGCACAAATAATCAGTTTCAACGAATATACATATAGTATAATATATCTATGATGCATATAATATTAGCAAAGTAGTGTAGATACGATTTTTTGCCATGTGCATTTTTGTAAATATATTGTTTTTTTATTTTGAATTAATTTTGAAGTTTTCATAAACAAAAAGAATGTACATTAATTTTACTTCAAACTCGACAAGAAAGCTATGGAAATTTATGAAGTATGTACCTTAAAAATAAACATTTACAATAATTTGATACATACTCTTTGTTTGTTAAAATCTATTATTTCAAATATTTTGCTTCAAACTTGATAAAGGATTGCAAAAGTCAATAAAATGCTTAACAAATATTTAGGAAAACTTAATGCATACTTTATTCGTAAAAATCTGCCATTTTAAAGCCATTTCCAAATCGTAAATGATATATGTGATGTACTTACATGAAAATGCATGTAAAAAAAACCTGTGATCACATTACCTCGCCAGGCGACATACGACAGCATCATAGTATGTATGCAGCTTTCTCTAACAGCAAATGCCGATTACATGCCGGTTTGAGTTGTGCACTACCAGTCAGGAATTTTTGGATTGCACTTCGTACAGTTGTACTCTCGAAGCACTTTATTATTGTACATAATGCCTTATCTACACCTAAGGACGATCCTACTTGTGGTTTATATCAGTGAGTAGTATAGATGATCAAAAACCATACTGAAATTGGTTTTCAATCGTAAATTATTTCGGTTGATACGATTAAAAATAGGAACAAAAAATTAAAAAGTTGAAATACTCATTTTTAATTTTTTGCTCTTATTTTTTTATCAATTCTCTATTTTTTCTGAATTTGAATACTAAATTCGAAATCAGCGATCCCGGAAACGTTAAAAAAAACAGTTTCGTTCACACTTTGACTACTTTTGATCTTGTCAAACGCGAGATCAAAATGTACGCGCATTGAGTCAAGAAAACTTAGGCTATACGACTTCACGGTATTGCCGGTTTTTTTTGCTTTATAGCATTAAAGTGTAAGGTTCAAGTTTTAGTTTGCGCCCACGTAAAGTATTTTATCACGTTTTGTTTCTTTGTGACAGAGGTTCAAAAAGTGTTAGAGGTTTTTCTGACTTTTGAATCCCGTTTTTTTTTCAAAAACGTAACGTGAGGAAACATTTCAGATTCGTAATCTATGGTAAAAATCTTATTAAAATGACCTGCCGTTTTTTTTATGACAAAAGAAAGTACGACTCTCATAGCCAATTTATTTCCTAATATATATTTACATTTTTTATTAGATGTTTATATTCAAGGACAAGCATTAAGTTTTATTCAAAGACAAGAATTGAGATACGATTTAGAAAACCATTAGGTACTAGCCTCCCAGCAAACACCGATATATAATTGTTACATTGCTATAATAAAAAGGAATATAACAGGTAATATAACTTGTACGTTACATGTAACATTTATGTTAGTTGTAATTTCCCACTCATAGATGTAACATTTTAATATAACATATATTATATTGTAGTTATATTATAATTATATACCAAATAGCACATTGATGTATTGATAAGTCAGTGCTATCTTGGGATATAATGACAATATAACTACAATGTAATATATGTAATATTAAAAATGTTACATCTATGAGTGGGAAATTACAACTAACATAAATGTTACATGTAACATGCTTAAGTATATAACATTTATATACTGTGT